ACACGGCGCAATTATTGACTTACGAGACTTGCAGGTGTCGTTCGAGGACCCGTTTCATCCTGAACCGGAAAACGCCCACTCATCGAAGGCTGCCTTACGTGTATCCTCCGAATCTGTTACTCTGCCTCCCCGCAGCAGCCTTTTTATCAACGTTGAATGTGACCAAGACGTCCCCAATGCTGTAAATGCAGAAGGAAATTTGTGCCTACTTTTTGCACAACAAATCTGCGTTGCCCAAGGTATTGTTCAGCCCAGTAGAAAGCAGGCTTGCCTATTAGTCACGAATTTCAGCGACGAGTATCGCCATCTTACCAAACACTCTGCAATCGCATACCTTGAGGATATTGCCGACGTCCCTGGTCCCTTAACAATATCTGCTTTTTCGTCGTGCGACGATTCCGCCATGACATTTGCAAGCACTCTCGACGTAAACTAGGGACTACCGTCTGCACAACGGTAACGTCTTTTGAAGCTACTCGGCTCATTTCGGGACTCCTTTGCTACGATTTCGAAAGTTAACCAAACACCGCTTGCCAAGCATCGTATTATCACCGAGCCTACCGAGAGACCCATACGACAGCATGCCTACAGAGTCTCGCAAAAAGAACAAGACGTTACACGCCAACAGGTCCAGCAGATGCTCAAGGACGATGTCATCCAGCCATCGACCAGTCCCCGGGCGTCCCCTGTTGTGTTAGTAAAGAAAAAAGGTGGTACTCTCTGATTTTGCGTCGACTACCGAAAGTTGAATAAGATTACGAAGAAAAACGTGTATCCTTTACCACGAATAGACGACTCGCTGGACCGCATTCGAAATGCTCGTTACTTTTCTTCCATAGATCTACGCAGCGGCTTTGGCAAATATCTGTTAATGAGCGCGACCGCGAAAAGACCGCCCTCATTACTCCTGACGGACTCTACGAGTTCAAGGTCCTTCCATTCGGCTTGTGCTCGGCACCAGCTACTTTTCAAAGAATGATGGACACGGTTCTTTCTGGGCTAAAATGGCAATCGTGTCTTGTCTACCTTGACGATGTGGTCGTCTTCTCGGACACGTTTGAGCAGCACGTCCAGCGCTTACAGGCAATTCTTCCGGCGATTCGAACAGCTAGACTTTCTCTCAAACCTGAGAAATGCCACTTTGCATTCGAGGAACTGAAGTTTCTTGGTCACGTCGTCAGCCACGCCGGTATACACCCAGACCCTGAGAAAACGAAAGCTGTTGCCGCATTTCCTGTCCCAACGAACAAGCGCGACCTCCGCCGATTTCTGGGACTCTGCGCATATTACAGACGCTTCGTCAAAGGCTTTTCTAAAATCGCTGAACCGCTAAATGGACTTACGAAAGACGGCGTACCGTTTGTTTAGGGCCATGATCAGCATCACGCCTTTGACACGCTAAGAAACCATCTCCAAGCCCCACCTGTACTCGGTCACTTTGACGACAACGCTGCCACAGAGCTACACACAGATGCCAGCAACGTCGGACTTGGAGCTGTACTGGTTTAATGGCAAAATGGCATAGAGCGCGTGATTGCCTATGCACGTCGAACACTATCATCCGCAGAGAAAAACTACTCTGCAACAGAAAAAGAATGCTTAGCCGTTGTTCGGGCTATAACAAAGTTTCCCCCTTATTTGTACGGTCGACCATTCAGGGTAGTTAGCGACCACCATTCTTTATGCTAGCTCGCCAACCTCAAAGACCCTTCCGGTCGTCTAGCACGCTGGAGTCTTCGGATGCAAGAATTTGACGTTACAGTCATTCACAAATCAGGACGCAAACACACTGTTGCTGACTGTCTCTCACGCGCACCAATCGGAAGTACGAACGCGGACGTTGAAGCGGACCATACATTCCTTTCCTCTGTGTCAGCAACCGACTTAGCTCAACAACAACGCGACGACATGGAGCTAAGCCTGCTGATTGACTACCTCGAAGGCCGAAAACGCAGCCTTCCTCGAAACTTCGCACGTTCGCTGGCCTTGTTCTGCATCAGGGATGAAGTCTTCTATAAGAAAAATTTCGACCATGCCCAGGCTACTTACCTACTGGTTGCGCCGACCTCGCTTCGGGACGATATTTTACATGCTTGTCACGACGAATCATCATCCAGTCACCTTGGCTACACGCGCACATTGGAAAGAATTCGCCGCTCATACTACTGGCCCCGCCTCGCGAAGACAGTCAAGCAGTACGTCCGCACATGCCGCGACTTCCAACGCCGTACAACTCCACCTGTCCGACCCGCAGGACTACTACAGCCCATCGCCACGACGAAGACACCATTTCATCAAATTGGCATTGACTTGCTCGGTTCATTTCCCACCTCTTCGTCTTGAAACCGGTGAATTGTGGTTGCCACCGATTATTTAACGCATTACAGCGAAACAAAGGCCCCGCCCAAAGCTACCGCAGCCGAAGTCGCACAGTTTTTTGTCACCAGCATCGTACTTCGTCATGGAGCGCCAGCTGTGATAATTACTGATCGTGGTACAGCTTTCCCCGCAGAAATGCTTCAAGAAGTGCTGAGACTAAGTGGTACAGAACATCGGAAAACCACGCGTTATCATCTCCAAACAAATGGACTCACTGAACGGTTGAACAAGACAATTGCAGATATGCTGTCAATGTATGTGGCCGTTGATCACAAGAACTGGGATGATATACTTCCTTACGTAACTTTTGCTTACAATACAGCAGTCCAAGAGAGTACAGATTTCACCCCATTTCGCTTAGTTCATGGTCGAGAGGTCTGTACAATGCTCGACGCAATGATCCTTCCCAACAACTTGAGGATGTTCAACACGGACGCTGCATTGTTCGCTCAACGCGCCGAGGAAGCCCGTTAACTCGCCCGATGCCATATTCAGGCTCGCCAAACTGCCGACGCACACCGCTACAACCTTACACACCGAGAGGTTACCTTCCGACCAGGCGATGAAGTTTGGGTGTGGACTCCCATCCGACAGCATGGTCACTCTGAGAAGTTGCTTCGGCGCTACTTCGGTCCTTACAAAGTTCTGTGCCGACTCAGTGACGTTAGGTATGAAGCTCTGCCTGAGGGCACCTCAAGACGTTCGCGTCGGTTTCTACAAAGTGATGTGGTGCACGTGTCAAGACTCAAGCCATATTTTTCGCGTCATCCATCGAACGTGAACTAACTTACCATGCAATGACTATTTTTTGTCACTTTGGTTTTTTTATTGTCTTGTGTACTTACTCCTTTCTTTATTGAGTACTTCTACGACGCCAGCCCATTTTTTTCTTTTACGACGAAGTTGTTGGATTCCATGGTAGCATCTTTTCTTTCGCATGTTTTTTCTCCACGCTCATTACCAGCATCGAGCCGATGCTTTTCGAGGGGAGGGAGTAATGTAACAGGTAATGGGTATGAGCCATCAAATGTAGGGGGAATCTTTTGGAAGTGAAGAAAGAAGAGGGCTTTTGCGTCCTGGTCTGAGGGCAAGCAAGACGTCGTTTCGTCGCTGTGTGTTATTACGTTCGCGGCAATATTTAACGACACCGAAACAAACCACGGCACACGCTACAATACTATGCACACTACAGCTGCGCTGGTAGAAACAGTGCGTGCTCCATTATTCACCAGCGCTTGCCCGTGAAAATTCCAGCGCTTCCAGTGCTTCGCATTGCGTACACGCATAACAGCGGTTGAGCCATTGCCCATACCAATGGGACGCAGCTTTTTCCCCAGTGCGCCCTGCGAAGTGCCAGTAATTACGAGCGTGTACCAGTGTCTCCAGCGTGTACCAGCGCCGAAAAACGTACTGGCATCACGCTGTTTTGGCAACAGGGAAGGAACACGCAGAATAGAAATTATTTCATTATGAAGTGTTGTGGTCATCAACACACAAGTGCAGTGAACACATGTACATGTGCAAAGTAATTAAATAAGATCTCAACCTATTTGCACGACTTTTTTCTATGCGGTCGCAAAGTCATTATTTGGAGGAACATTTCTCCACAGCAATCATCTTGCACGAGAGCGTGAAATTAGGTATGTGCAACTACTGAGAGTAATTATAAGGTTCCCTCGCATTCTTCTTCATCACATCGTACACAAGAGTGAAGTTCTATGCAATTCCAAAACATAACATTCAATGAAAACATCCTACAACATGCTGTAGAATACGAGGGCAAGTAAAAAAGTCTGCAGTTTTGTCATAAAATTTTTTGATATTTTGCACTCCGTGTTGTTTCCTCACTTATTTTATTATTATGAAATTTCGGAGATGCTGTGAAAAGCTGGCCTCATTTACCAAATTTTTCTTCCTTGTGTTACTGATGTAGTCTAGCGGCTTCGTAGGAAGCTCGTCTCGCACCAAAAAGGAGCAACAGGCAGAGATCCATTTCCTCTGTCTGGAGAATATGTATGGTTAAAACGTTCATTGCAGAGTATCCTCCCAATATTGTAGGAGTGAGCTCTAGTGTAAAGCAGCCTTTTTAGCGATTGCCAAGCCGTGATTCGCAACACATTCCACAAGCCACTAGTCACAAACGCCTATGTTTGTTGCGAAGAAAGGTTTGTTGTTTCATGACAATGCATGACCACACAGAGCCAATCACACCGCTGATACCATTACAAAGATTACAAACAGTTCGGTCGATGTAACACCCTCCCTACAGCTTAGGCCTCGCTCCATGTGCATCTCGTTTGTTTGGGCTGCTAAAGTCTTTGCGTGCTCGCCTTTTGCCTCACACTTAGACGTGTCAAATTCAGTGCAAAAGTGGCTTTGCGACAAACGAAAAACCTTTACTTGGTGATTGTACGTAAGCTCGTTGACCATTGGGCCAAGTTCAATGAGAAGGAGCGAGCTTACGTAGAGAAGGGGTGTGCATAGTATACCTATAGCATCACGTCAATGAACCGTAGGATGAAAAACGTTTGTTTTCAGACTTGCGCTCGTATTTGCTCAATGAGAATATAGGAATTGATATGAAATGAAATGAAATGAAATGAACTGATTTTATTTCTGGAGAGAATTATATAACGGTTCTTACCGGGTGTCAAGTTTAAAATGTAGCCGTTGTTAAAAATATCGAGGAGATTTGGCTAAGGGAACACAGCACGTTCGGTTTCTGGTACAGCGTCCATACTTCTGCTCAATATCTGAATCGCTGCAATTGTCCTTGCAAACACCTCCCTTGTAGTAGCACTCTCCAAGCTTCGCTATACAAAAGAAAACATAGATGATCTTTACTTACTAACATCACCAAATTGTAGGCATACAAATCTCAGGAGAAAAATAATGTGGCCTTTACACGGGTATATACAATTTATCAGGTGAATAAAAAGCAAATGCACATCGCTAAATCAAGTGCAAAGTAACCTGCTCTTGCAGTTTCCGCGATTTATTCCGGTGCAACCAGGTATAGCGTGTGACAACGTCTGAGCCTCACGGCTTCACGGCCTAACAAATCCTCCCACCGATTTCTTTCGTTTTAGCAGACCGTACGCCCGACAGCCACTTTAGTATTCGTTAGCCACTTTAGTATTTATTATTGGTACTACAGTGGCACCACAAAGTGTCGCTCCTCTACAAGGAAGTTGTTGACGTGATCATGAAATAAGCGTAAATGCTAGCAGTGCGACCGGCACTGATTGTACGCTGTGATCCTTTGGGAAATGAACACGCAGTCGATTGGCCAGCGCTCTGAGGTCGCTTCTTAGAGCGCCATCAACAGACAGCTAAAGAAAGCATGTCTGTGTTGGGTATGATTTATCAACAAACAACGTAACGAGTCAGAGCTGGTGAACAAGCATTGCGTCCCACTCCTCCACTCGCGCAAATCGTGATCTACGCAGTGCGTCATGTGCTGCCAACAATTAGGCGTGGTGCGTCAGCGTGGTGGAACTGACAAGCTCCATCGCTGTGCTTAGCGATGATCGCGTTTTCTGACGTTACCGATACCAAAGTATATTTACTCAAGCAATTTAGGGATTTTTTGACGTGGCTACGTAGCATTTCCACTGTTGTTCAGATCAGAGTTATTTCATTGTATTTCACGCGGATATACCAAAACGACAGTACCTGAACCGACGCAGACTGGTATTCGGCTTCACGAAAGACTATAACGTGGCGCTACATCATAAACTTTCAATACAGCAAGCCACGAAAATTATTCATCTGAGTGTATCGCTGTAGCCTATATTGGGCTGGTTCAAGTGCCATTCGCGAACGGCGAGTGACACTGATCGTTCGTTTTGACGGCACTGTTGCACCACGTTTGATTGCTTGGTAGCGGACAACGCGGTTCAGGCATTACATATTGCACAAGCGAACATAAAAAGAAATCACGCAGTGCTTGCTAACGTGCCATGATTTGTAATTTTCTTTGCTGGTACATTACGCAAAAGGGAGAGGTGCTTTTATTTGGTCTTAATTAACGAGCAGAGCACAGGACATCAACTTGCGTGTCTCCTTTCGTAAAGGACGATGATGTACTCTAGGTTCAGGTTCAAAGACTGAGCTCTCTGAAGCAGACGAGCATATCCTGAGACGCTTGCAGACGGAAGTCTCCTTGTAAGATGCACCCGTCCATCATTTCATGACAGGTATATTACTATACCGGACGCATTGCTGGTAGCTAGCCGACACCTACCACGTGATTGCGGTGTGCCCTGCCAAACTACCAACTTTTTCATCTTTTTCCCCTACCAACAAGCTAGGCTTGGGAGGAGTTTTTGCTCGACTTGTCCACCCGGGACGCTCTGAGATCATTGGTGGCCCGCGCCCGAGCAGACCACGCAGGCGCAATTGTAGTGCAACTCCTAGTGCTTTTTTTTATAAATTGGTTTCCCACTGCGTGGCTCACCGATGTAGCTGTCACCCAAGACGCTGTTTAACGCAGGCAAGGGCCCTAAAGAAGAAAAGCTTCTGTGCAACTTCGACCTCAATGCCTTGCACAGAGCCAAGCACAATGCCAGGTAAAGGAAGGGAATCACCGATAGTGGGCAAGGTTGCCACCAGCAGCACTTGCTATTTGATGTTTGGGGTTTAACGTCCCGAAACCACCGTATGATTATCAGAGATGCCATCGATTGCTACTTGTAGACAAGTGATTGACGACAGGGTGTGAATGAATACATTTAGATGTGCTCACCCCTTTGATGGGCAGAGAAGGACTGAAGCTTCCACAGTGCTGCACGGAACTTCGGAAACAAAATTTAGACAGAGTCAGTCAGACAACGATTTACATGCGGCTGCAACCATGGGGCTTAGCTTTAGGGTGTTCTAGAATTACTATCTTTCAGGCAAGGTCTTTCACGTCTTTAAAAGAGCACATGCTCTTTCTGGACTAAGTGATGCTAGCACAGCTCAAGGCGCTCGCATCCTTAACTGTGCTTTTAGGCCTAATACGTTGAGCTAGGAGTTTTGTGGATTTGTACCACGATAGATAAATCGCTTCAAAGCGTCGGCTAATGGTGACCACAGCGGCGTCCCGAGTGGGGAGAACTACAGCAAGAATATGGTCTCATCTGTGAAATAATGTATCATTTTGGCTAATTTACGAATTCTGTAGTGGAAAACCGACTAAAACGAGATATTCCAAGAGCCATTTCATGAATACACCGGAACTGCCTTTCACCCACTGAAGAAGAAACGTTTCTGTGAAAGGCCAACACAGCCGCATGATGTGGAATTCACATGTCGACATGAAAAATGCCATCATGACATTAACATGTGGTCCTGACATGAAGAATGTGACAATCCCTTCAGGTACGTCAGCAATTCTTCTCCACCAGATGTCTTGCACATACCTTCAGGCGGGCTTTTGCCACAGGTGATTGACATATTAGAGCTATGTAGAAACGTTGAGAACCTACAGGAGAAGTCTAAACGTGGTGGAGTAAGAGAAAAGTTCACGCAGGAGTGTTGAACAGACGAATGCAAATAATAAACGTCTGGTTACCAGCAGGAAGTAAACCCCAGCGTTCTGCGTGGCCGTCAAGTATTTAAACAGAGAGCTACGCCAAGTCTCTGAACTACATTTAAATAGAGCCTGATGTTCGTGAAACATGGTGGTTGCAGTGCTAGCTTTGCAGTTTAATAAACATTGCATAAATATGCACGCCTATGATACAGCCGTGATATCAGGTTAATGTCATTTGCAGTTAAGCGCCATTCAATGAAGTTTGTTTATGTGGGAGTGCTCACGGCCACCATCCTCTCAACCACCAGCACTTCTAATTAGCTTGCACTTTCTGATGTCGCTAATATCCCTCTTGCTATTGACATTGTTATGTAACTGTAAACAACTGGTTAATAAAGAATTCGCAGATCCCACGTACAGTGGGAATCAATGATATGCAAGGCATTAATGAGAAATTTCCCTTCAAGATCAGTCAAATATGTCACTTTAAAATCAGCACAACGTTATGAGATGGGGGTAAATGATGCCATACATGAACTCCGTGTAATATTTTTTATGCTTGGATGTGTCATTTACCTTCATCATTTATACACGTCACGTGATACTGAATTTAGTTTATGTGAAGCTAGTGAAACGACCGTGAGCACGCTATGAGCGTGGTAAGTTGTCATGTCCTTCCATGACACGCGTGCCAAAAATATCTCGTTTGCACAAGTATATTGTCATCCATTGACGTCACGTACCACCACTATTGGTATATGTGGAGCTAGCAAAACGGCCACGAGCGATTTTGAAGGGCCCAATATACTTCACTGCATATAGTGCTGACGCACGCGCACGCAGGGCACAGTGACGCTAGGTTAAAGAAACGCGAGTGCTCTATAGTCTGACGTCAGGCACGACCAGCGTCCGTCACGACGGCCCGACGGCAACTGGTGCGAAAGGCAACATGCTGCATTTCGCATCGATGCCACAGAATAACAATACTCTGTGCCGATGCGTTACCCATCCAACACTGCGTCTCCCTCTTTTCATGACGTAGGAACGGCAGACGCGCTGAAACGTGCATGAGTCAAAGCAACGCGTGGCGCGTGCCTGTGAGTATGTGGCTAGAATGGCGCCTGGTGTGGCAAGGCCGGCGGGACGCGACGAAATGAACGCCAGCTAGCACGCGTACTTTGTCATGTCGAAATCTATTGGCGCCTTGACTGTGGCATGTAGTCATGTTCTCACACGACACGCATATGATTATTATTATGTTTGCACCAGTCACATCTGTTCATCATCAATTGGCGTCACGTAATACCAAATTTGGCATATCTGAAGCTAGCCAAACGGCCTTGAGGGCATCATGAGTGTGGCATGTAATCATGTTGTTATATGAAACGCATGTTGTGATTATCATGTTTGAATGTGTGATTTATCTATGTCGTCCGTGTGCGTTGCTTAATGCCACTTTTGGTACATGCGAAGCAACCGAAACGGGCGTGAGCGCATCATGAGCGTAGCACGTAGTCATGTTTTTACATGACACGCATCTCATGTTTATCATGTTGCCACAAGTATTATGCCTTTGTCATTCATTCACGTCCCGTAATACAAATTTGGCATAAGTGAAGCTAGCGAAACGGCCGCCAGCGCATCATGAGCGTGGCTTTTGTCATGTTACAGACACGCATCTGAAGATAATCATGTTTGCACGAATCACATACCTTAGTCATTCATTGGCGTGATGTAATACAAAGTTTTGCATATTTGAAGGTGGCGAAACAGCCGGGACCGCATCATGAGTATGACATGTAGTCATATTGTTACAAGACCCGGATGTCGTGATTATTATATTAGGGTCTGTCAGTTGTTTTCACCATGCAATCATGCCGTACCGCACGAGTTTTGGAACATGCCATGTGAACAAAACCACCAGAAGAGCTGCATGACCGTGAAATGTAAGTCATGACATTCATCACATACATTGTATGATTCTCACGTTAAGACTTGTCAAATATGTTCTTCATACAGCCATATTATGCCATACCAAGTTTGATATTTAGACCTATATTGAAACGGCCAGGAGAGCTAAAAGTCCTAGGTGGCTAGATAGATAGATAGATAGATAGATAGATAGATAGATAGATAGATAGATAGATAGATAGATAGATAGATAGATAGATAGATAGATAGATAGATAGATAGATAGATAGATACGCTCAAAGTCGCCCAAGTTCGCTAAAAATGCTTCGCATTTAAAACATATTGCGTATTTCATAGCATGTTTTTGCGTGCATTTTCACAAAC